CAGAGGAGTATTGTTACTGTCATGGTATCCTCCTTCAGACCACCACTTGATTACCTCTTGGAGCTGTTGCCATGGCTACAGGTCTGATATTACTCAATATCCTCATCTCCTAAGGTGAATATAAAATAGTAAAAATTATGAATTATGTACTTATAATACATGTAATTACAAGTATTATTATTATTATTATTGTAGTTGTTGTTTTTAGTTGTATCCACATTCAGTGCATGTCACTGCTGTACTTGTTGAATATTGTACATCAACTGGTCGGAGTAAGCAGGGTGTGGCTACTAGCTTGTTCGCACGATTGAAAGGTACAGGATTAATACGTATAACGCTTTAATTTGGCAGTTTTATTTTGGCAATTGGCAGTTCGCAAGTGGAATTGCCAATATTGAAATTGCCAATCATTAATGCGCATGTTCAGTAATGCACATAATTATGTGTACACAAAAAATTACCAAATTAAAAAACAGAAAATTACAATTTTACAGCAAAATTGCCAAAATAGCTCCAACAAAATAAAACACTATGCAGTATTGTACATGTATGCATTGATTACATGTACAGTACAATTCATTACAATATCATGCTTTATTTATTGTTGGTTCATTGTAGATGTGAGTCCAGAGAACAGAAAGGTTCCTGTATACATACGTCACTCGTCTCTGAGGCTGCCATTCCATCCGGTCAATCCTGTCATTATGGTAGGACCTGGGACTGGACTGGCTCCTTTTTGTGGATTCATACAAGACAGATCAACTGCAATTAAAGAAAGTAATGGATTATATTACTGAGTGCAATTATCTTGAGTCTTAACATAATGAAGTATTAAGTGGGTTGATATAATTATATTTATGCATTTAGTTTCTTGAGTTTATTGTTCTAATTATGTGTTGTGGATAGTATTTCATAAAAACTGGGTAATGTACTTATGTTCTGTGAGTGTTGTGTAGGCGTTGAGCTGATTCTAATCAAATTTGGTTTTAAAATTGTTTCTTTTCCAGTTATAGTAACTGATACAATTCTAATTTCCTCAACCATTGATTCTAACAACTGACTCAGCAGATGTGTCATTCTGTATAAAGGGTGTACATGTACATGTATTTTGTGCATAAAGTACATGTTAAATGGAGTTTATGTTATGTTAAGAATGATATCATTATTACCAAGCGCTAGCGCTTGGTATGTAGGGTTGAGTTGGACGAGCGCACCCCCAAAATGGCTGCCATCCCAGAAGCATTGAGCCAGTGTAAATCTTCAGGAATTCTTTATGGCTTATCTGACAGTCA